GGGGGGGGGGGGATACAGGGGCAATTAATGCTCACCTCTGGGACTTGTGGATCTCGCTCCACCTCTGTCGTCTCGTTCGTCGAGTCGAGGCCGAGGTGAGAGCCTTCCACCACTACCATCACCAACACCACTCGCAACGACTTCCTGGCCGCTTTGCACATAGTGTACGATTGCCGATGTCACTTCTTTTATCGAATTTCTCACCTCAATCTGCTGATTGGTTTGTTGCTGTTGCTGTTAATATTAAAAATATAAAAAAATCTCAATTATCACGTTTTAAAATTCCGAAGGGGGAAACTATTTTCAATTTCAATGCATTCTAACGAATGTCTATTGGCTAAATACCAACTAATCTCGGGGAATTTAATCCCGCTTAGCACCTAATTTTATCCTCGAAATGCATCGCACACGTGCACCTCGGCGCATTACTAAAAGGAGAAATAAGCTGAATGAAGAAGGTGGAAAAAGAATAGACGTAGGAATAAACATGGTGTGCTGTGTGGAGACGCGGTTATTTTCTCCCGTCGGCAATTTAAAAATATTCACACCTCTTGATAATGTTCAATTGATTTCCAATAAATTCAGTGATGTCATATAGGTAGTTGAGATTGACGGTTTGTCGACGCCGGTGAATAATGCCCTTGGCCTTTGGCATGACCCAATTACATACTTTTGGCACGTCTAATTTTGATTTGACGATTGTGTCTGTCTATGACTAGTCGGCCGGGAATATATTTGATATTTTTTCATTTACCTTTTTTGCATTTTGCACTTGAGGAAGAATACCCTGAGCAAGACGTTCAGCTGGTGTTCGTGGATTGGCGAGACGTTCTTGCGAACGCCAACCGAGATAAGGCTGACGATGATTGAAAGACGAGCGTGCAGAGTTTGCTGGTGAACTGCCAGCACTGTTCAGCAGGCTCGTACTCCATCTTGAGAAGACCGGAGGTGTTGGACTGGGACTCAAAAGTAGTGTCCCTAAATCGTGAAAAAACAAATTTTATATTGCCACAGTAGAAGAGAAAAGAAAAGAAAAGAAAAAAAAAACCATCACTCAGAATTGGCAGTGAATGTTATTTTATTACCAGTGGTAGCGGTGGTTGGCTGGCGATTGGAAGACGATGATAGGGATGACAGTGATGTAGTTTTTGAACCGAGTGAACGCCAACCACCGTGCTGCGATGCATCCGAGTGTCTCTTTAACCGGAAACCATCACGAGCCGCTGGTGAATTTTTGTACCAGTCTGGAACGTTGAGGCGTTGAAGTGATCTTTGTACTCTCAGCTCGTGCTCACTTGGCACACGTTCTCCCACTTTTTGTAACTCATTCTCCGGTGGCTGAGGACAAATAAACAATCATTTATACACTTTTAAACCCTCAAAGGATTATACTCTTTAGCGAATTGCAATGGGTTTTTCATTGATCGTTTGAGGATCCTACTAACATCAAATGGAACTCATTGTATCATAAATTTAGTGACTGCTCTATCTCAGAGCAATGTAGTATTTCAAAATAAAGGCAACGAGTGTTTCAGTATCTGGAGCACCGTGGAGGAGAGATGAAAGTTGATTTGGTCGTTTCGACGAATTTAGCCTGAGTGTATTTACATGACATAGCAGACCAGCACCGTAACCATGTATCAGATCTACTGCTGCACAAAATTTTGAAAGCGAAGAGGTGGTCAGCAATGTGGCTATATATATTTATATAACCCTGCTAACTTTGGCCTTTCCTTGTGCAGTGCAATGTCCAATGAGCCTGTATGTCTCCCTATGAATCTACCAATGTGAGAAGCATTTATTTGCAATTCCCAAATTTCTACGACTTTTACTCGCTCTAAAAAAAAAAAATAACCTTCAAGTGATCGACATAGTCCCCTTCTTCTTCATCGATCGTAGGCACTGGTGATACTCCAAAGAATGACAACGGAATTCTCCACTCGTCCATTTTATCCAATTATTATACTTATTATATCGATTTACTCTTTGTTTTTCTTATTCACCAGTGGTGTATTTAGCCACATTTTCACATTCACTGTGACTTGTCTCAACTAACAACATAGCAACATGGAGATATATCTAAAAAATTACTATGCCTTGTCACAAATTCCATATGACAAGCTATTGTCAAAGATACAATGAGTTGAGATAATTATCGTATATCACGTCGGTTAGTAAATAACGATAAGCTCTGCTGTCAGCCAGTTTTATCTACGCTCATTTGTGTTCAGCCCTGTGCAGTGTCAACATTTGCACAAGGATAGGGATAGGTTCAATCACTCTCAGGAGGAAGTAGCCGATGTGGAGAAAGCAAAACAACCACTGGGATTTTAAAATGTTGAGATGATAATTATTATTATTTAACTATCGGATAGCAAGTATACAATTTTGAAAACTCTGTTAAATGGTGAAATCATCTCTCTCGTCTTATCTCGTTGTTTTAGTTTGATGCATCAATATAAAATAAGTGTTTGTAGAAGTTGTGGAGCAATGTTTCAAGAGTGATTTTATCAGTAAACCTTTGGTGCATTCATGACTGTACGTCTTTATCTGCTGATGAACTCGAGTTTCGTAGTAATGCATTTCAATGAAGAGTATGTATCATCATACGAAGAGACGAGAATAAGGGCAAGAGCTATTGTAGACAAAGAGCGATATTGAGTCTGAGGATTTATTTTAATTGCACCCATGAGCAGAAGAGACCAGACCCACCAGACGCATGAGTAGTTTTTCTCATTTCTACTCGTACAGTCGATTGACGTAAATTGGTGGGTCGTTGTCTCGAGCATGAGGTGGTACTATGCAACCATCGTGAGTTCAAAGACCTTTATTTCTGAGAAAATTGATGATGACGTGGCATGACAAAATACATATCCATTGTACCCGTATGGCGCGTAGGATCCATGCATCGACGTAGATTTAATGCTCGTAGAATTAATAGCCTAAGAAATTCAGGTACTGCAAGTTGAAACATGTTGATACACGCTAAATATGTAGCGGAAGATTGGAGAATTGGAATAATTTTAGTACAGCTCTTATAGGGCGTTTAGAGTTACATACGCTATGAGTGGATGCGTGGAAAATTGTCCTGATTGAATTTAACACACTCAACACTAATGTTTATCGGCGAGTTGGTGGGAATAACGTTGTTTTTATTCTATTCTCAATAATAAACAGCAAATAATGGGATAAATGTGAGAATTCACCGTTAGAATAAAACGGTATAAACGGTGGAGATTTATCGATGCTGGGGATGCAAGTGAAGAAAAAGAGAGATGGAATTGGGCGGTTTAACAGTGGCTAAGGACACTACGAAGAACGACAGAGAAAGACGAAAAACCAACGACAAGCCATGTGAATTTGTCAGAGATAATGGACTCCTATGCAGCATGGATTTATCGCTGTCGTGCCTGTAAATAGTGTCAAACTGTTGGCGTTTTGTGGATAAGCGCACGCTTATTTTGCAAGAGCAAAAGACCATTTTTCTCTTTACTAGTATTTTCATTTGCGTGATATCATGCAGTTATTATATTGTGCCTGAATCGTGGGCACTGACTTTACGACAAGACTCGCCCACTCGAGTACTTGAGGATTAAAAAAAAATGTTGTGCGAATTTTCTCTACATAATGAAAAGATATTTCACAGTTGTATCTTGAAAGTCGTGAATGAGTGTTAGTTAAGTATGGAGTTTCAATTTTTTCTTTTTTTTTATATAACCAACCAAAGAGTTACCTGTAGAGGTAACGGGTCAATATTGCCATAGGGCAACCGAAGGATTAATAGTCTTCTGAAATGAGAGGTGAATTGCCTCAATCCCACCATCGGAAAAGTACGCAACACTGCACAACTTGTCAGCGTAGGAGTCACGGAAAATGTCATCGCTAAAGGAATTTCACTTCCGGGTAAATATAACGGAGAGTATCTTGATGAAATTCTTAGGAGAGACCTTGAGAGAAAGAGAGAGAGGTCGCTGCGGTTCAATCATCAATACAAATGATAGTTGCTGCTTCAGCTACTTGGGATGTAGACCATAATGAAACACATCTGGCAACATGGTGTATAGGTAGTACCAGACAGAGTGTTGTGCATATATTTGAGTGAGGCGCTGGAAAGCGCAAACAACGATGTAATGCAGCTGAGTTTAAAACTCGAGGCTGCAAGGTTGCAGAGACGTAGATAGTATCCACGTGTCCACCACGATCAATAACACAAGTAACCAACCCTGTGTAGAAGAAATAAAATTTTGGAATTTCACGTGTCAAAACATCTTTAGCACAACGTTGGAGTCAAAATATTTATGATACCTTGAGAATTTAATTAATCATTTTCTCAATATAATAACGTTGTTGCATTGAAAGCTTCGTGTTGACTGCAATCTGTCAAAATGAAATTTCCCTTAATTTGGCTTTCTATCTGTCCCATAGGCACGATTTTGCATAATTGGGCACTCGAACAGAGACGGGGAGAGAGCGAAAAAACTGCAACGGGGAAAAGACTGGCATGATGCCCACTTTTAAAATTGCTTCCGGTGAGTGTGCAAAGTACAAACTTTAAACCGTGGGGGGTAAAAAAAATGATACCAAGTCGGGTTAAAATGATTTTGAAAAGCTGTCAGTTGGATGGTTAATCCCCTATTGCTGTGCTCAAATGAGTGAAAGATTCATGGTGGTTAGCGTTTCATTTTCCATTAATTGTTATAAACAAAACAGGGTGCTATTAATGTTTTTATTATGTTAAACAAACAAAAATCAATTATTTAGAGAGAGGAAAAACTCTTTGTGACCCTTTTAATCGAATGAAGAAGAATACAAGAGCTACCTAATTCTCATTCATGTCTGTAAAGGAGTACATCTTGAGATTTTCTGAGAGGCAAATGTCACGGTACAGGTCCGTGAGAAAAAGTACGTGGCATTTTTCATCAGACAGTGAAAAAAAGGTCGGCCACTCATTTATTTCCCAAGAGTCTCGACAAATTCCTCCGTTTGTCTGTCTACAATATTCTTTATGTCCTTTTGCTTCAAAAGGCATTTCACTTTTTCTTCATTTTGAATATTTATATTTGAAGCTTTTGTGCAGTCGAGTGATAGGTATGACGGAGTTTGCAGATAGTTTACAAAGAGAAATAGTCTAACAGAAAGAAATTATAATCATTGGAATTTCACAATGTCAATATTACAATCAACAATGCACAGAGAGAAGAACAAAATAATATAACTGATGGCTGACAGTTTAACTTGGCAAATTATTATCCACAACACATGTGCATCATCATTAAACGAGGTAAATTGCGTGTACAGTAGAAGGTGGTACCATATATTTATGTGAGGATCAAGAAAAAAGAGAAAAATAGGCCTGGTGTAGGTATATAGTTATGTATAGTGCTCATCTGGTGAAAGGAGGGACGTGCGTTATCTCCCCAGTATAATAGAGTCCACTGTCTCGGATTATTAATAAGCCTCAATAAAACAGAACGGCATTAATCATGAACATTGAATGAATAACGTGATGATGGTTTAAGTTTCCCATGGAGCCTAAATGCCACTTATTTGCTCAAAAGTACTCTACCACAATACTCCATCACATTCACTGAATTATTCTTTTATGTACAACTACACTCGAATACACTTTTTTTTTTTATGTGAGGTCAAAGATGTCCAAGTTTATCCTAACAATGAGTTTGAATTGCTTTGAATTGCTGCAGAGACAGATTGGGAATAATGTCATTTTATCAGGTAGAAAGATTGACGAAATTATGAGGAAATGGTAGCAACACTTGTATATAGAATGTCACAAGCCTCTATATAAATATGCTCTCTATCCTCGTTGCCGAGTAAAAAATCAAGAGACAGAAAGTTAGTATAAAGTTGAGCAAATGTGAATATGAAGAGGTGGTGAAAATTAACTCGCTATTCACGATGGACTTTCGATACTCAGTGTTATACATTTATGAATTGCTGTAGACGAGGGAAAAAAGGCCCGCTATATAAATCCAGGTGGCTCTGTAACCGTTACCAGGACTACCATTTGCAAAATAAAGCACTTTTTAACGATAGCATGGTCACATTCAAGGTCAACTGGAGATTATAAAATAACGGTGTATTTTGCAAGTCTGTAGACGTCCAATAAACATGTAAGTTGGCAAATTAGTTTCTGCTATAGTTACTGTCCACTAGCTAAATGTTTTGCTGCAGTTGTCCTGGATACGAAAAGTATAATAAGGGCAGTATAGTATTGAGGAATGAGAGAGAGAGAGAAAAAGTGTGATTGAAATTCTTCCAACCTTCTCATTAATAGTAAAGTATTCACGTTTTTCAGAGTATGATTGGAGGGGGGGGGGCTGGCTGGCTCACTTTGCATAGAAGGTTCGTTATCTGTCCCGCGCACTCCCACGTCGTTTTCAGGTTGTCCAAGGGTATACACAAAACATTCATGATAATGTGGATAATGGGGAATATAGAGGTATATATTTTTTTCAGTTGCAAATACTTGAGTGTTTGGACAAGTTTTTGAAAGGAAAATAATTAAAGATGTCCACCACCACCAAATATAACAAGATGATTTCGGAGAAGGATTATGAAAATCATGATCGTCACAAGCGCAAGGGCAGTCGCTATCTTGTAGCCTAGCTGCACTCTGGTCTATGCCATGTTCAAACTATTGATCTCGACACGACAGCGGCCCAGAGTATTTCACTCGATGCATCCGTCTAGAGAGTCCAGGGTATATCTTTAAAATCGTCTCCTTCAACTTATTTTCAATTATCACGATGATAATGAGAATGAATGATAGAAGGATTGTATTTATAGAAGTGACGTACGTGACAACGATATTGTTCAATTTCGAGGTCAAGGTGTCGGTGACCAATGGCGGAAGTGGCATCCGACGGAAGTGATTGACATGCATGTCATGCGCCCGCATATCTTAGTACCTGATAATTTTTCAAGTCTATCCAAATTTTGCCCCTCTTATGGTGAAATTAAAGCACTGCCAATTATTCACACTCATTCTCAAAATAACGTATTGATTGGCTTACATCATAAAGCCAGTCTACTAATTCGTCCTTGAAATAGTAGACTTCTCCTCCCCCTGTTGGCCTTTTTCAATTAATAGTAATGTGATTGCCACCTCGTTAAACAGCCTTTTCCTCCATTTCCTACCAATTTCCTATTTTCCTCAATCCGCTTCAATTAGTTTCACATCAAAAATTGATCACTACCCCATTATGCATTGGTCTTGTTTCTCACGAAATAGCATTGTCATAGAAGATGTGCGCGTGCTCTAAACAACTCGACTTTTGCGAAACCCGTCCTCAATGACACGGATGACACTCATCATCTACTCCATCCCTTCCCCTCTGCGACCCAGTATCACTGCTTTTCTTCTTCCTTTCTTAATCTCATTCAATGAGTTTCCTTGGTTTTCAATTACATGCAATAGTTTTCTTTTTCAATTGTCAATTAGCGATTTGAAACGATAAGAGGATAAATGTGCAACTTACCTTGATGAAATGGAGATTCTCCTTATCAAGGAGGAACTCCATAGATTTGTGGGGTCGATGATTAATTGTTCCGGATGAATGATCAGGATGATCGCTGGTATTTCGACAACTAGCACCCGGTGACTGTGCACCCGGTACCCGCAGGGCGTTAATATTCTCGGCGATGTTGTCACGTCCCTGACGATAGGTATGATTTAAATTGAGTAAACTGCGGGTCTTCTTACCGGGCGCGGCACTACCACGTCCACCGACAGTTAATGTGTCACCCTCGTCTTGATCGTTCAACGTTTTACTGGTAACGTCAACATTTACGGACTCGTCGTCGAGGTCGGTCTCGAGGAGGCCAACCGGGCGCTCCTCCTGATGACCGTGCACCACCTGATGAAGTTGGTGATGATGATTGTGATAGTGTTGCGGCTGCTGCGGCTGCTGCTGCTGCTGCTGTTGCTGTTGCATCGCGCGAGCTTTCGCCATCTCGATGGCAGCTGGGCTACCCAGGTCCGTTGTCGCGCGCCGGCGCGTATTGACGACGCCCGACGTCGCCCTTGGACTTGCTGCACAAGCGCGTACACCCTGGGGTGGTGGCAATGGGGGTAGAGGTGGTTTACTAATGCACACTGGCGGCCTCCCGGTACCGCTGTAATCATTAAACATTATTTTTCATCATCATTCGATGGTAACAGGTAGAAAATAAATATAAGTGAAATGGCTCCAATGTTTGGATGATCAATCCGTTTTTCGTGTAATTTATCCCCAAGTTATTTTATTTCCTAGCCAGAAAATGATGAAAGAAACGATAAGAAAGAATTTTCCCTCCTATTTCCCCCTAGCCCTGCCCCCGCCCCCCTTGTAATACCATAAAATTTATTACGGTCGGACGTTAGAACATCGAAAGTGTCTTTATTGTGTTGAGCTCAACTGTGGGAATGTCTCTTACTATTAATTATAGTTTCTTTATTATAAAATGAACTATCCACTTTGTGAAAGTCATTAGACTCTGTGTATGTGTGTGTAGATATATTTTTATTAAGGAGCGTTTAGCAGATGAGCGAAAAGTGAGAGGATTGAATAATCTCAAGAATATACTTGAGCCTCTTATATGATAGTCTTATTTCAAGAAGCCAATCAGACTTTTAATCTCCGATCCCTGGAGTCACTTGTTAACACATAACACTACGTATCTGGATATTAAAATACGAGTGGTCTCAAGTGGACTTTAATGGTGTCTCATGACAGTAGGTACTTGTCTAGTAAAAAAATATGTATGTATATAAATTCCATTGAATTTATGACGATTGTTGTTTAGCCAGTAAAATTGTAATAATTTTCTGTTGAATTCTTAAGAATGGAAGGTCAGGCGTGCCGATCGTACTTGAGGGAGAGCTGCAGATCACATTTCGTCTTGATTTACCGTTCCTCCAATCGATGAGCGATGATTCAATAATGCACATAAGATGGATATTTGAAGTAGTAAGTGAGTGTATTGTAAAACGTGTACCGACAATTAAAGTGAATTGGTCCCTTAGAGTAACTGGAATGTGTTATAGTAGAATAAAATTAAACGCAAGGGGAGGATATGAGATTAAAGCGGAATGGACGATTGACTAACGAGCGGTCACCGGTGGGTGTGTAGGCGGCGTAAAACCGTCGGCATACACTCTTATATTGCACATTGAACTCTCTTTGCCCGGTTTGAATTTGAAGCCGTTACGAAAGCCGTCGATTACATTGACCTCTTTAAACTCAGTTTTATAGGTAGGTGTACATCCTAGGATGTAGAAAATAATGGCACACAATGTGGCAGAAATAATATTTATAGCTCTCGATTTATTGACAATTCAAGGAAAGGAAACAACCAGAATACTTGAATTAGTACGCAGGTATTGAAGTATAGAATGTAAATAAAAGAATGAAAGATTAAGATTATTATTATTATTAGTATTATTATTATTCATTGAGGTGAGAATGGAAGTATCGATATACCTAACGACATTACCCTATTCATAATTATATTTCCGTCCGTTAGCCTTAATGTGTCTTTGACACATTATAGGCTTTTATGGGCTTCACGACTATGTAAAGGGATGAAAAAAGGCTGAGGCAACAATTAAAGTGTGATCAACTTACCCAACACATGAAGCGCTTCGTTCAAGATCCGTTCGTTTACGTTGTGAACTGTCTTCATCATCGTCATGGCTTTTCCTCCTCTCGTCTTCCGGTGGATGCAAAGGTATGATGATATAATCAGGCTCTTTTTTTCGTTTTATACCAACTGACTGTTGCATTGTATCATCATTCTCTTGAAGTGTTTTACCTTTGATAACTCCATCCGAGTCGCTTCTTTTAACTTCCGATCTTGGCACTTTTGAACGACCACTGAATCTCAATTTTGAGAAACGCTGAAGAAATCCACCTAAACCGGATTTTTTTTTCTCACCAATAGTCGTCTCATTGTTAGACGTTAACAACTGACTATTCCTGGGACTGGATGATTGCATTGGGCCCATTGCCAGTCTTTTAGCAGCCATTGATGACATTTCACCACACTTATCTGTACTTTTTTGCAACGATGATGGACCACCTGATTTGTGGGATTCAACTGTCAATGTTGTATTATCCGTATTTTCTTCACTTGTTGGAACCGATACACTATTACTGGGTATGGACACCGCAGTGTGTACACTGCCTTGACTCGTATCATCTACCGCCAGACGTTGGCTTCCCACTACTACTGCCTCTTCCTCCTCTTTCTCCTTCTCCATGCTATCCACCTCTTGTTCTCTTCCCCACCCATTGGCACCAAACATCGAGTTCTCTTGCTCTACCACTACCCTCCATAAACGTTCTCCAGGCATAACACCTCCACCACTACCACCACCACCACCACCAACATCATCATCACCATTCGTAGTTACTTCATTTTTAAATATACTAATTTTACTGTCATCACTGTTCATTTTTGATAAAACCTGATTACTCTGTTCTGGATAAAAATCGCTCAAAAATGACAATGTAACTCTCTCTGGCACATCATTCTCCATACTTGTTCTGCTCGTCTCCTCATCTATTTTTCGTCGTACATAATTATTAACATTTATTTCACCATCTATGGGTTTCGTTTCCAAGCAAGGTAAATCTACTTCATCATCTATATTAATACCACCACTGACACTAGCACCTTCTCCATAAGTTGAAAATATTTTCGAGTTTTTTTTTATCTGATCAATTATACTGTCATGTTGTACTCGTTGCTCATGTGACTCCTCTTGTCTAACATAGTTTGGCAGTGGTGAATAATTGTTGGTTGTGTCTCTTTCATGCACCGAACGATTGTCATTGTCAACCACAGTGGTGGCAATATTACGTGGTGGTTGACTTGAATTGCTCGATGAGAATTCTGGCAATTCATCGCAAGCATCCATGCGTTCAAAGGGCCTAGACATTGATTGTAAGGCTTTTATATAATCCGATTGTTGTGCCAATTCGTAACTAGCGTTATTATGTACACGTCGTCTAGTTGGTGAATTCGGTGGAGATGACTCATTGGCCTCATCTTCGATAAAACTTGTCATTCTACACTGGAAATTTTCTTCGTCCACTTGCCATTGTTGCGCCAATTCGTAACTCGCATTGTTTTTAATCTTTCTTTGTCGCGGTTTATCTTTACCAAATGTTATATTATCAGCTGAATTTGTTGCCTCCTCAACTTGGCGTTTCAACTGTTTTATTGCTTTATCGACAACTGAATCAATGTCATTTTCCATGGCCATTGCCATTTCCAATACATGATTACCGTGATCTTGGGTTTTGACTGTTAAAACCTTGGCATTTATATCACTATTAATCATTGTTTCATTGGCTGGTGAAATTTCATTTTCCATTGTTATGTCGTTTTCGTGAAGATCGTTCTCCAGAGTACTGGCAATAACACATGGCTCTACATTATTTTCAATTTGTAAATCCTGCAGATGATCCTGCTGATTATCTAATAATAGCTTTTGCGTCCTAACCGAGGACGTTCGTTTTGGTAATTCTCTCGAGTTGGTCACCTGATCTGCGCTGGTGCTCTCATTAACACTCATCGTTTCGTCGGCCATTTCGTGATTGTTCAGAGCCGTTGTCTCATCAACTTGAGTGACATTATTAGTACCACAAAGATTGAGATTCACTGGAACACTAGCAACTCGCGTATAATTATCAAATGATAAATTCAATGATGATGGAAAATTATAATGGTTATCGTAATTGCGATTGTAACGTGACAATAGTGAAGCTGATACGTCGATGCTACTGGCAAGACTGGTAAGACCGGGCACACTGCGTGACTTGTTAGTCATTCTAAAATTAAAACCGTGTGTTTGAGAGTTGCTCCACCCTCGTTGATGCTGATCATATTGGCCGGATGCGATTCCTGACGCCATATTGTCAGTTATATTTAGTTTAGGGTGAAGTAGACCCGTGGACGAACCCATCTGCGAGCGAGCCAGGTCCAGTATTGTTTCATGCTTTGATTCAAGACCAATTTCTCGGAGATCGATGGTACTTCTAAAGTCCAACGAAGTGGAATATCCACTGTTGATGGTGTTAGAGAATGTTAGGAAGCCTCGGTGCTCATTAAAAGCATTTGTATAGTGATAGCCACCACCACCACCGTCATCATCATCATCATCATCTAAATCCTCTGAGTCTTCCTCATAATCGTAATTCTCGTTGTATTGGCCGTACCAATAGTTATTGCTAAAATATATAAAAACACAAGGAATTACATTTGGATTTGAAGAGAAATTTTTTCCACTATTTTTTCTCAATTGCAGTGAGAATAAGTAAAAGTAAGCAATATTGACAAGGAATTCTTGGACTGAATCCAATCAAATGGCATTGTCTGGCGTCTAAAAATCTTTATTTAGATGTTACAAATAAAGAATCTCAATGTCATGCTCACCTCTTGACAGTAGAGCGTCGACCACGCTCACTGAGATCGTTGCTTGTCGTTTTAGAAAACATAAAGCCATGGCCAATATCGTGTTCAAATGGTTCACTTGTTCGGAGACTCTCGAAACTACGATAGGGACGTATCTTTGGCAATTCCAAGTGGGAATTACTGAGGCCAAATGAGGGCCTTTTGACATTAGTTAATGTTCGATCGTCATCATCCTCTGTATCGTCTGTATCGTCTGTATCGTTTTCCTCCTCAAGGCTGTCTGGTGATGTATTCTCGAAATGGGAATTCGAACGATTCGAATACTCGAGAGAATCGTAACTGTAGCCAGATGGTGATACTGTTGCACAGGTTCTCTCGAGTGTTTCAAATTGGATGAGTGAGGATGAACGTGAAGATTTTGACGAGCGTGATGATGCTGAAGATCTTGATGAGCGTGGTGAGGCCCACTCACTGAGATGGACATAAGAATCACTGTCACCAGCACCGTTTCTACGTCGACGCTTCTTTGGTACTACGGAGTTGCACTCACTTCCACTTCCATCGGGTCGATCTTCTGTACAATAAAAATACCGCAAGGATAAATAAGTACAATTAATTCCAAAATATAATGTATATACGTTTCTCTCATCTTATTCATTCAGTCAATGAAAGTACCGACGCTCTTTTCACCCACCGCACTTTAACGCAGTGAAAGTTGCTGTGAGAAAATGCAAAAGAGGAAATCAAAGCTATGAGAAAATTGTTGAAACATTCATAATAATGTTAATGCTAACTATTATTTTCTCAAATTCAATGCATAGGAAAAGAGAAAATATCGTTTTCATACGAATCAAAAAAACCTAAAAATTGAAAAAATTGATAGAGTTGCAGAATAAATCAAAATGAGAATTTATATATTTTGTACCTGCTACTCTTTGATTGGATTTTATGTGAATGACACTTTCGGTCTCGGAGTCAGAGCCAAGCCAATAGGTGGTGCCACTGCGATCAGAATCACTCTGCAAATCATCCGAAGTTTCCTCGAGGATGGTCTCCAGAAAATCAACTTGTTGTACCAAATTGACATCTGAAAAGATTTTTTCACCATCAGCATATTATCATTATTACATAATATTGAATCGATAAAAATGTTTCCATTTCCCCTTTTGAAATGGAATTTATCCTTATAAGATGAGTGAGAGAGTGTTATAATTATTATTCAAACGGAACATTCTGACATGACTAGGCAGCAGTGACTCATTGAGTGTCTCGCCTATTCATCACTCTTGGAACATTCCAGAAGAGAGGAATGAAACAAATGAGTGCCTACTGCACATATATGAATTATGCATATTATGCAACTAATGATGTAGTGGAAATTATGAGGATCTCATAATAACAGCGCTCGGAACCCAAGATGCGCGTAAAAGACAATTCAACGTTTCGTTTATGAGTAAAACAGGAGTGGAGTTTTATCTGTACATTTTCAATAATTACCACTTCAAGTCGTTAGAAATATGCTTGACGACTAAACATTGTGTTAAAGTGCATGTGATGCCTGACAAAGACTGATGGAAGCCTTTAAGAAGAGTGCTCTACTGCAACAGGTAGTGATGTTGTATATCAACAGGTGTGTTGGTATGATTATACCCGATGAGAAATACTCTAATATTATGTCTCTCAGGATCAAAGAGTAAATTAACAGGTAAATTAAGTATGAATGAAAGTGTCATGCGTCACTGCCATCTTATCAGCACCAACAATATATAATGCTGTCAGTTGCAGAGAACGAGGTTTCATAAAGAACCCAATAAATGGATTTATCAGAAAATTTTTCCCCTCTGTGACACGCATCTAAAGTTGATGAGAAAATTTAGTTCGTCTCACGATCCACTATGGATATACAGGTTGATAAAGGGGCATTAATATGTTCAAGTATGCGTAGCGCCGTTAGGCCTTCTGCCTACTACATATGTACTCTGAAACGAAATCGCGTGAGCTACACAAGGCACAGACACATTCAAACACGGATCCTCTTTTTGATTTGAGCAGACAGTGGCAAGCTGCTGCTTCCCTGTTGTGATTTCTATTTTGTTACAAAGATGGGGGGG